TCAAACTTGTTGCTTAAAGAAAAATGATCTCACAGATTTGACATACAAAATCAATGACGTTGCAGAGATGGTGTCAACTTTTTCAACTTTAGAGTATGTGACTCTTTCTAACTTAAAAGTTTTCTAGTAATGTACTAGCAGTATAAATGAAATGTTTTGAAACATAGTCCCTCACTCTCGTCAGTTGTATTCACTTTTCCAATTGTCTAATTTAGTTTTCCAATTGTCTATATTACTTTTAGTTTTCTCATTTTGAATGTTATTCCAAGTCTTGTGTGAAAAATCTCTCTATTTGCAAATTTTACTTTGAGATTTTCTCTCAATCTAGTCTTTTAATCTACCTTAGAGTTGTTATTTGCAATATTTGCTATAAACCGAAAGCTAACATTTGATTTAATTCGCTATAACCCAAAAGCTAAAGTACTAAGCTGAACTAATGGATAAGTGAAATAAGATGGTATGTAAACATAAAAATAAAGTGACAGTTGATCACATATACAATTGGGATACCAAGGTATAACAGCGATATGATCTTTCAGAATAGCAAAGAAGATTACTACCTAACAAAAGCATATATGGTACTACCTTACTATTTCAACTATGGTTGCATATGAGTATATCAATTAAATTTGAAATGTTCACTTATAGTAATCGGTTGTATGTAGAAAAAATCAATTGAATCAATAAATTTAGCTGAACAAGTTAGAAGACTCACAAGAAAAATTAGAGTAAGTCACTTAGTTCATACAAGTCTAATGGAAGAAAAAGTATGACATTTCTTTGCGATCACATAAAATTGTGAAAGAGTACAATTACTTCTTTACAAAAGTCAGCACATGAAATTATTAGAATAGTTGTATATGTATGATAATTGAATTCGTTGAATAAAAGTTCACTGCATTTTAATGATCTTAATGTTTGAAAAAATATTATGATTGTACTTTTGAGTGATTGCTTGTGAGTATTCAAGAAAATCAAAACCAATTCACAATCAAAAAGATTCAACAATGTGCACATTTTGTAGATTCATTAGTCTAATAATGGTTATAATGATTACCAACTATGACACACAATAAATTTCAAACCCATTGTTGAAACTAAGAATGTTGGACTCTAAGTTCAATTGATGGTCTAGAATAAGTCAATAAGTTTATCATGGAACTCTTGATTATAATTAAGTCTAGCTAGTTATGACTAGATCCAACTAATTATGATTAAGTTTAGCTATTAGATCTATACTTTGCGGAATAATCAGTATAGTTTTAGAAGATTTGAGTGAGTACTTTTTATTTGTCTCTTATAAAAGTATAGATTCCAAGAGAAAATACTTTAGATTGCATGAATAGTTTTGATTGGTTTGACTAAGTAATGTAAATTTCATTAGATAGACTAAGGTTAAATTAGATTTAGTGGCAAGTGGAGGTTGTAGAAGTCTGAAAAATTTCAAATGGCATGTTGTCACTTCAATCTAGGTTTTAGAAAACTTCTAGAATGTTTAGGTAGACTAATGGCATGTTTTCAACTATTGGAAATTAGTCAAATTTACCATAACTTATCCTAGTAAAAATTAATTATGAGTTAATTAGTATGTATTATTATGATAATTTCTCAAATTTTTATGTAAAGAGATACAGAATAATTCTCAAACAAATTTCGAAAATTCATTGTGTGAAAACTTGATTTATCCATATAAATTTGAGTTTCATTATACTTTTGAGTATTGAAAATTGTTTGCAATTGAATGAATAGAGATTTAAAGTGAAATAGAGTTTGGGACACTGTCACATTGGAAAATCCTAGTTTTTAGAATTATGATGAATTACCGAAAAACCATTTGAAATAAACCTGAATGAGAATTTGTTCTAAAGTCACATGATCAAACAAAGATCAAATTACGAACTTAATGCACTTTTAGTGTGAAATTAACATGTATCAAGATTTATCAGTGTATTCTTATTTAGTGTATTATTATATGATAAATAATAAATTGTTTAAATATATAGTGATAAATAATGAATAAATAGTAAATTTATAACTTTATGAGTAAGACAAGCGCTGCATACTGCAACGGGATGTGCAGTGCTTGACGCTCATTAGATCTCAACAAGAACCCTAATGTGATTCCATCGGAAGAATTCAATAATGTGATCCGCACATTAGGGCAAGAGCATTTGCGCAGTGAGGCAGAATCTAAGAATGTTAAATTCAATTGCGAATAATAAGGAGAGACTGAAGAAGAATAATGATAGTCTTGAATACTGAAGTAATGTTTCTTGCATTGTAAGTATACTAGCCAAAAGTTCATGAATCTAAGGAATGAAGCAAGGTATTCAACAGTTTGCAACTAGCTAATCTGCTATGAACTCTAATGTCATTTCTATATTTATAAGATTAGAGTAGCTTGCTCAGTTATATGTGGCGATGGGTGCCGCTGGAAGTAAGGTTTTGTGGAGGCTCTTTGGACCATGCATAAGATGATAAAACAATAAGATGATAATTTGAGTAGCTTCAAAAGCTTCGATGTTCAAATATGGCGTTGAAAGAAGGGAGAGTCATCACTAACAGAACACTAACGAATATACAAGCTGAGTTGTACAGTCTTTGTGCTAAGATTTGATGACATTCTTTAAATAAGCACTATTTGCATCGGCCACTAATGGGCCCGAATGTGGAAGGTGGAAATAAAGCAGCCCCATTATCTGGAATCTTTGTCATGAAGATATTCTCAATAAGTGGTTGCCAAGTGTAACAATGCAAAAGTAGAGCGATTGAGACACACTGCAAGAATAGATGCAGTCTTCAGATCAACCGAGTAACCGCATCTAGAGACGGATCGTACAGAGTATATCCACACGATGCAAAATTACTGCAAAAATTGTTCGATGAATTGTAGAAAGTTGAAGCGGCTTTAGAACATAATTGCCAGTAGAAAGAAGCACATGCATGTTACGATCTTAGACGAACGTTAGAAGCATTAGGATGCGATACGTGTAGAAATTAGGAATAGAACTAGAGGTATAAATAGGAGTATGAATAGTGTATAGTTCTCTGTCTATTTGCAAGTGTAGAATTGTCGAACCACAAGTGTAGACAAGGTGTTACGAGTGCTAGGAAAAGTTGTTGATGCAATTCATTTCTACTTCCACTTCATTTGAAGCTTGTTAGGATATCCAGATGACTGTGGAAGGACAAGATGTACTTTTATTTATTGATAATATTTTTCGTTTTGTTCAAGCAGGTTCAGAAGTTTCTGCTTTATTAGGTAGAATGCCGTCTGCAGTAGGCTATCAACCAACTCTAAGTACAGAAATGGGAACTTTACAAGAAAGGGGTCGAGCGCTGGAAAAGTTGTTGATGCAGTTCATTATGAACTCCACTACAATTGATGTGTGTAAAGATATCCAGATGGCTGTGCAAGAGTTGAGTGTCATTTGTTGATCGAAAGATCTTTATGAAGCAACTCGCATGTTTTCGACTTGTAAAACTTTCAAGTCACTCAATCTAAGCAAAACTTGGTTTCAATTGGAAATATTCTTTGTGAACTGTTCTGTGAATGTGCCAATTGCACCCGTTGGGTTGATGGATTCTCTTTGGATTAACACTCTTTGGACCGTGACTAACAAAAGTATAGCAAATAGGCATAACTTGCATTGTGCTAGTGATGTTTGAGATAAATCCCCCACTGTCTTGGAAACAACTCAAATCTAGTAACTTTCGAGAAGAAACTGTTAATCTATGTTCTTACAAAGACATTCATACACATTTTTACTACCTCATGGTTTTTATTAATTATACATAATTTTAAATAAATCAAGAATCAAATACGTTATTTTTATAGCTGCGCAGCAATGATGTAATTGAATATTAATATTAACATCTTCAAAACATCAATCTAGATATCAATTTTTTATTTTTTTATTTTTGAAAGATTTGTATCTACATATATTAGGTATACCAAATAATCATTTATTTCAAAGAATATCACATTTATGTATATTGTAAGTCAACTGTGGTATTTTTCGACAATTTGATTTTTCGTAACATGCAAAGAATTATATATTTGTATAAATTGAAAAAGGAATGAAGTTTTCTTTGTGAGGAAAATTTTCACTTTAAATTTTTTTTTTAATCTTACAGGAATCAACAATCATATTTGCTTTGAGTTTTATTCATACTACTTACATACAATCTCATGCCGGTAATCTATATGAATTCAAAGAGGAAACAAAAATATCAGATTTAAAAATATTTTTTCTATACTTGTCCACACCTGCAATTTATACATGCTAATTTTTAAGTAACTTTACTATATACTGCCATAATATGATACTTGTTGCTATCTCATTCCGTGTTGCACAAATTGATGTAGAGCATACTATAATTGGATTATAAACCCTTTGTTGACATTCATACTTTTTTCCAAAAAGATGGATTGGTTTTGTCAGGGGCAAATATTTTCAGAACCTCATTGACAACAATCATTCGCATTCGACAACTGGTATCAGCAAGAAGTCATGATTCGACCTTTTTTCAAAATCACATCATGCATCTTCAAATCGTTTCACAAGATCTTGAAAGTAAGTAACTCAATTATTTCCCTTACTCAACGCCTACACGATAAACATAACCATCACAAATCTAACGGAAATTACTCAAGTATTATAATCATCATTTTTTTACAATATGTAGATCCCAATGTGAAATATGGAATGGCAATTGCTCTCTTCGGAAACTGACAAATACACCTTGCCATTAAAACAATATAAAGTCTAGTTCTGAACCTGTGCTTCACGTTTCTGAGCGGTACAAGCTTCTGGTTTTGATCCTTAAATTCACCACAAGCCATTTGATAGCAAGAAAAGATCTCCACCATCTCAGGGGAGAACCTCGTACTTGAAAAGAGCAATAGAAAAAAGAAGACTATCTTACCCACAATTGTGATACGAAAGTATCTCGTGGATTCTACTTCCGATCTATTGCATAGAAAACATGTTATACCAGATACTGTAAATTGCTCCACAAAAATAGAAGTTTGAAGTACAAAGATGGATAATAAATTCAACAGAGGTTGGTGGTAACACTTATGGCTAGGAGCCATGATTCTCAGAGACGCTTTTTACTTCAGATACGTCAATGCGGCCCCATTAAAACTTCACCTTAAATTTCACTTCCACTTGTGTCATCAATTCGCAAAAATAAGCCGTATTTTACATAAGCTATCCTTTAGATCCCCAAAGAGCTTCGGAGTCTCGCTCATGGCGCTCGGGTCCGACTTAATTCTGCCCACGCGTTGAACTTTAACTGAATACATATTCACAAAACTGACATGGCCTTGTGGAATTGATTCGATGAACTAGGTGGGTGGCTTGGTTAGAAGGGTTTCATAAGCCATGGCAACGATATATAAGCGGGTTCAATATACATTGCCAACAAGAAGTTGACTTCTCCGAGTACGAATTTGTACCAAAATCTACTCCTCCCTGCCTAGTGAATCCATCCGACCCCAGTTAAATGATGATCTATCTACTTGAAGAGCATCCTCGTTGTTAAGAGAACTTCTAACTTGCTGTGCCATTACTCCCAACCCTGATACACATAAAAACAACCTAGTCAGACTCAGAGTTGACGGCAAACAAAGAATCTGCATTTACTTCACTATTTGCTTAGAAATCTTGAGGTAATTTCATACCAACAGCACGTTTACGTGGCCTATGAGCATGAGATATATTCACGCCTCGTAAGCTTCCTTCTAAAACATTGCAAACCAGGGTGGACACAAGTTTCTTACCTTCAACAACCCGTAGCAGATAAAACCACCATCGCTCTTTGGAAACTTGACGTTCTCGCAACTCTTCGTCTATAACACCATCATGGTGCCCTAACAACACCTCCTGTAGTGTATGTGCTGCATCTCGAGCTTTAGTAAGCATACTCTCTGCTCTATCTGATTTTACAATTGCATCCAGCTCCTCATGCGAGCCGGTGAGACTCAGAGCCAAAGCCCATCTGGCTGCGCTGGCCCATCTTGCAGACGCCTCCATGTTCCTTTGTTCCTCCATTGCATGTTCCTCCATTTCAGCTTTCATATCCAACTCTCCCATCACGATGCGCTGAAAGACATGTATAAAGGTTGTGCATGTTATGCAGATAAATGAGGAGGTTGTAGATATTAATGAAAATGAGGAGGTTTCCAACGGGGAAAGTTTCTAAACTTTCCCAATAACAGGAACATGTAATACGAACAACCGTGGTGAGCAGAAAGCATCACACGCACGGAAAGTATAATTTCAAATCATACCTGCAAATACTTAGCATTGGCAGCCCCTGTGCTGCGAACCATTCCAGCAAATGCAGAGTTCTCGTTTAAGAGAAGAGTTGCGGGAGTATCCATCTCAACCACCTGTCACGTCCTTACGATTCAGTGTTGCTTACAAGAGATTATCTCAACTCAATTACAAAACAAAGTTTTCCATGTGCTACGGCGGCTAGACGAGCAAACTTTTGAGTTGAATGTGGTAGGTAAAAAGCACGGAATGCAGGGAGTGAACGGACACTAAACACAAAGTTTCTTTGGTCAACCGAATTCCGACTGCCATTATGAGTGTATGATAGAAGTTATCTAATACTTGCTTTCTCCGTCTTGGCCACGTCTCCCGGCAGAAAACTGACAATTTCCATATGGTAAAGTGATAACAGTGTACAGCTTCCACATCTCTAACGACTCCGACAACTTGCTAAGCACTCCAATAAAGCATGTGGCCTTGCCGCAATCAAGCTGTAAAGTGCGTACCTTTCCGGCATCAAGAACCAATATACGATCACTGTCAATAATTGTATTCAACCGGTGGGCTATGATAAGCATGGTGCAAGATTTGAACTCCTCACGAATTGTTTTCTGAATGAGAGCATCTGTGCCCACATCAACAGCAGCCGTTGCCTCATCAAGTACGAGAATTTTCGACCTTCGCAGGAGAGCGCGTGCTAAACTCAAAAGTTGTCGTTGCCCGACACTGAAGTTTTCGCCACCCTCAAGCACCTGAGATTAAAAATTCATCGACGGATCAGCAAAAGAAAAAGAATTCTTCCCAGTACATAATACACATGGGGAAAAACTTGGATGACAGGATGTACAGTTAAACATAATGAACGTACCTCAGCCTCGAGACCCATGGCATTCCGCCTCACGACTTCCTTCAAATGAGCTCGGTCTAGCGCTTCCCAGAGGCTTGCGTCATTGTGCTCCGAAAAGGGATCCAAATTGAACCGGATGGTGCCTGCCCAGTAGCATATCATCCACGTCAAAAGATGGACAGAAAAACAAACGGGAGAAAGTAAATTGCTTTCCACGACATTCGAAATCGTCTGTCTACAATTTCAACGATCATCCATTACTCGTGAACAAGCTTTCAATATACCTGAAAAAAGGACTGGGACCTGAGGAATGATGCCCAAGGCTTTTCTCAGATCCTGGACACCGTATTCAGCAATATTGAGACCATCGATCAAGATCATCCCGCTGTCAGCTTCCACAATCCTAAAAAGGGTATTGAACATGCTCGACTTTCCGGCTCCAGTACGACCAACGACACCAATTTTTTCCATAGGCCTGATTTTCAAAGATATGCCGTGAAGGACAGGAGGAAGATCTGGACGATAACGCATGACAACATCTTTGTATTCAACAGCTCCTGCTGAAGGCCAACCGGGAGGTGGTCTATGATTCTCGATCACAAGGGGGGCTTCAGGTTCCAGATCCGCATAGGTTCCGACTCGTTCAACAGCATTGAAGCTATTCTCGGCCAAACTGGCAAGACGCAAAACTGCGGTCATTGCGGAAGTAATGTTGAGGGTGTAGGAGAGGAGCAAACCCATCTGAGGAGCAAAGGCTTTTTGATTACTAGACCGTGCGTTTGAAAAGACAGCGAGTGATGCCGTCAACCATATCATCATTCCACCAATAAACTCAAGCCTGACACCTAGCCATCTGTTTGAACCCATAGTTGTAAGAGTGAATCTGGCGTTGATATCCATAGACTGTCCATTGATCCTGGCCATTCGGTCGTGGGCTTGATACGCACGAATTGTAGAAAGCCCATTCAGGGCCTCTCCAAACTGTGCATAGACTGGTGAACGTGTCACGGAGTCTAAGCGCTTGACCTCTCTAGCAGTAGTCTGCAAAGACCAGGGCCAAATAAGACTCAAAAGGAGGTACTTCCATTTCTAGATTCTACGAAAAACAAGCTGCATTGAGGTAGATACAAACAGAGAATTTCCGACCATGGAAACAAGAGATGGAATCAAAGATCTTACCTGGAAATATAGATACGCAGAATAGAAGGCAAGTAGCAATGGTAAAATTGCCCATAGTGACAGACTGTTCACTGCTCCAATAAGAACAAAAGTTGATAACAACTGGAACCCGGAACTCAGAAACATGTTCGCAAAAAGGGCAACGTTCCGATCGATGTCACCTGTATCCTTGGCAAACCTATTGATTACTCGGCCGACAGGATTGGCGTGAAAGAATGACATGGGAGCTCTTAGAATCGCGCCCAGCATACCATCATGAAGACGTTGCGCAGCTGACAAACTTGAAAGAATCAGCCAGAAGGAGTTTGCCAGTGTCACTGTGACCTGTCATACGACAACAGCACATTCAGATATGTGCTTTGGGTACTAGACAGGTATATGAAGGTATCGATCGTGGAATTCTAAGATCCTCCTAAGATCCTCCTAAGATTGTCAGAACGAATTGGCAACTAGAACTGCCCTGAAAATTAAATCAGTTATTCAAAGACAGGTTTTCATAGTCAACCCAACTCACAATCGTGAATTCAACTATTGGAATCTATACATGTTGACATACTTCAAGTGCTATGATATTAGTGAGACTGAGTGAAACTAATAGTCAACCGTGATGAGAACAGAGCCACATCTGTGCTGGCGAACAAAGTCAAGCGAGATTGGGCCAGGTTCAACACAAACATACTTGACCAAAAGATAGTCCAGCGTAAATCCCATTGTAATAGGCGACTCCGTGAGTTTTGGGCTTTGAGTCATCGGTCCAAATACTGAGCCACGCGCTACTGGATAACCTCACAACCTCCGCCATGATGTAACATGCAAACAAAACAAAGACTACCCAGAAACCACCCAGCGCGATCTTATATCTGCGCACCAAACAAATCTTTGAGTCAAACTATGCACAAAGACATTTCAGGCTGAAAACCGATAGCTTCCGTGTAGGACAGATCAGTTGAAGTGTTAGAGATTCTAGCCTTCTTACCTTTCCAAGACTTTCAAGCTAATTACACCGGTCTCCCTCTCCTCCTGCTTAATAAGGACTGACTTGTCCTTACTCTTAGAATCTGATTTCTTGCTGCTGCTCTTCTTATCCAATGAAGGAGACTTTGGCGTGTTCGTGTTGCCACCATTCATGAAGGCATCTCCAGTTTCCGCTTCTCCTTCCTCTTCCTCTTCATCTTCTACACTGTCTTCCATACTTCCAGCATTTTCCATGAGCTTCTGGAAGTAAGGCCCGCTTTGGATAAGTTCTTCATAAGTACCTTGTTCCTTAATTTCACCTTCGTGAACAAGAATAATTTTGTCCACTTGTGACAGAAAATGTAGTTGATTGGTTACAAGAACTCGAGTCTTGCCTTTCAATCCCTCGCGAAGGCAACTGTCAAAAACCTGTACATATCACAGAATATTGCCGGAAAATCATGAGTATCCACCATGAGCTTACACGAAGACATGACACTGAGGCATAACGATGAACTTCAGAACTCCCAATTTCAGCCTTCCATCGATATGCTTGTAGTGAATCCGGTAGATTTAGTGACATGCTAGAACCTTCAGAAAATTGAAGGCCTCATGATACTGGACCTACGATAAATCCCACATCTGATATAGACCATACATTACGAGATTTGAGGCTTCTTCATCACTTTTATCTCAAGAATAAAACTCGCCACAATCATAACGGAAAGCAGTGCTTGGGGAATCATGTTCAAGTCGAGCTCTGAAACAAAGAACATACCTGCCGAGCTACGTGTGCATCTAAGGCACTAAGAGGGTCGTCAAATAGGTACACATCTGCGTTGGAGTATACTGCACGTGCAATGGAAACTCGTTGCTTTTGTCCGCCACTGATATTTACACCTCGTTCACCAATCTCTGTAAGATCTCCTCCCTGTGAACGACGAGAGAAAATCAACAGCAATCAATCTTAGGATGCTGGATTGTCTAGATTCAGCATCTAACATTGTCGAAACATCATCACTGCGAACGATCCTTAGATCCAAAAGATAATAATTCAAATCATAAAAATTTCCAATATAAGTATAAGTGGTCTTGTGAACACGTTTCAAAATCAGATAGATTTTGAAACGATAGATCAGACGTGTTCAACGCTTATAGAACGTGAACGTGAAACTCAATTACTAAATATGGCTACACACCAAGCAGCATGCGAATCAAGCGCGTTTTAAATCGTCATCTGGAATAAAAAGGTGGATGAAAGGGTTGCATACCGGAAGTAATGCCAAATCTCGATCCAATGCACTCACGTGTATGGCATGGTTATACCGAGCAGCATCGTATGGAGCACCAAACAAAACATTGTCTCTCACCTGCGACATAGTTACGGATGGATTTGAACGCAGAGATCAGAAACTCACCCCAAATTTATATCGAGAGCTCATACCCATTAAAGCAATAGCAGAACTGTCATACGGTCTGCACTGGGACTGAACGCCCATTTATGTATGAAAACAAATTCCTGCGGCAAATTCGAGTAGATCGAATTGATTTCACACATACAATATCTTCGATCGCTCTTTTGTGAAACTATTCCACTCGTGGAAAACAGGAGTATCTGTGGTCAAGTTCTCACTCCAGTTCAAGAGCGCATGGCAATGGCAGTATAACACTTACAGTAGCATTGTAAATCCAGGAAACTTGTGCAGCATAAGCCACTTGGCCTCGAAGCACAACTTCTGTCTCAGACGTGATGGCAGGCAGATCGCCCAACATAGCAGATATAAGTGAGGTTTTGCCTTCTCCCGTACTTCCGACAATGGCGACTAGCTCACCGATGTTCACGGCCATATCGATGTTGGAAAGTGTTGGCTTCGATGCCTAAAGTCCAAAATCAAGAGCGTCATGCAGCGAATAAAAGTTCCTGGCACTTTTGAAGATGCCTTGAGTTCTATAAGCGTTATTTATGACACAAAAACACCGGAAGCTAAAAAACTATTGGGGCCGACTTGCAGGCTTTTATAAAAGAAAAGGAGTGAACACAAATTTATAATATTTTCTCTCCACAGGGGACCATATCGATAGCTTTCACAACCATAATAGAAGAGAGTGGGCAATACAATAAAAGTACCTGAACACTCCAAGCGAACGTGCCATTCTTCATTTCAATGGCAGGTTTTCCTCGTTCAAGAGGTGGATTTGGAAGTAATTCACGCTCCTCTGCTAGAAGAAGCTCTTGCAACCGCTTCAGCGATACATTCGCGTTGACTGCCTGCATGTGAATGAAACCCACTTTTCAGCTAAGTATATCGAGTTCATCCATGCGAGTACCAATTCTTATAAGAAAATGACTAAAAGCGCTTCAATCGAATTTTACCTGAGTAACCAGTGAGGGAAACATGAAGAGCGGAAACTTCAGCACCGCAAAAAGAGAAAGAGAAGTAAAGGCCTTTGCTGGTGTCAGATCTCCGCCCATCACAGAATACAAGCCGAAAGCAAGGACAGTAACACACACTGGAATACTGTTGAGAAGGAAACTGTTCACCTGTCCAACCGATTGACATACCACTCTGAGAAGAATGGACAACATAGAACTGCATTCCCAGTCTATTTTCAGGACACTGATGTGAAACTGAAGGAAGGTCACTCTCGGTAGGTGTAGTGCACCTCTGTAACAATGAGCATAAAGAGCACACGGAACATTATCTCGTACGCGTCTCCACTGAGATATTGTCAAACGTAGTAATGAAAGAAACTACTCGCGGCTGCACAAAATCAAAGGAAAAGCAATCGTACCCCAGCTAGCAACTGTGATTTTCGGAACCAGCTGAGTTCATCTTGCCGTATCGTCAAAACCTTACCCCTAAAACTCATCTCCCATGCATAGCATCTGCGCAGACAAAATAGATGCCATATGTTACAAAGAAAGGTAGTCATAACCAAAATCTGTGGATAAAACCAGTGAGCAACTCTTCATGCTCTGTCCAATGTTATTCTGAATCAAGCAACAGACTTGGGTATAGTGCAGACAAGAACATGCATATTACTGCTTGTTAGATTTAAAAGGTAGTTCTATCACACAACTTAAAGTCACTTTGCAATGACATTCCAGTCAAAATAACGCACGTCATACTTACTTCACAATGTCCATAGCAGCTAAAATCTCGTTCATAATACCAATGCGCTTATCTGTACGTACTAAACCTTCTTTGGCCAAAATTCGCATTCTGTTTATAAGAAATGCCTGGAAACACAACAATCATTTGCTTACGTCTTTAATACGATCATATTAGATGTATACATCAAGCAGCACAGTGTTCAGAGACAACTGTAAAAGCTCCAGGATACCAAGAAAGTACTTAAAATTCCACCCAGGTTGCAGTGCGCTGCAAATGGCCGATATTTGTGCTTCTTGTTAGAATAGAGGCTTGAATGTCGAACTCAATCACAACGGAATGACGAGACGTAAGGTTCCAAACAAAAAGACGTACAGCATGTTTTTTGAGAGAGGTAAAAGACTACTCTTATTCTAAACCAGTGCAATCCCACTTCTTTTTCATCTAATAACACGGTATCCCCATACCTGTGCAGGAAACATAAGGATGAGAACGAGTGCACCAAGGATGGCTGCAACACCAAGTTGCTGAAAGAGTAAAACCATCGCCACAACTATTCGAAGAGGTGCTGACCACAGACCGTGCAACTGCTGGCAAATTTGCTGCAGAAGTATCAAATTCAAAACAACTTCAGTGAAGTGGATTAACTCAAGAGGTTGACGGAACTTCAATGAAAAGAAAAAGCATCAAAACCTCGAGAGTTTTGATGAAAGAAAGATAGTATATATAACGGGGTATGCAAACTGGAAGCAGTAAGTTCACATTTTATTCTATACAGTCAAAAGCAGAACAACATTGAATACCTGTAGAGCTTCGGCATCAGTTGTCATCAAGTTTGTAATTTTACCAGACGCGAAGTTTTTACGACCATTTTGAGTCAGCCTCAAGGACTTCCTAAATACAGCTGCCACCTACACAGCACAATTTCATAATCTGTAAGTTAGCAGCCCGGAATAAAGAACGTCGCTCGGGCCTTTTGGTGTAAGAGGATTCTCCTCCGAAAAAGGTATGGAACTTACCAGAGTTGAACGTGTATGGAAGCCAGCACGCATAACATTCTGAAAGTATTGACCTTCGCAGATGACACCCACCATCTGCAAAATTTAACTGTATAAGTATATACAAACAGACGCCGAAGTACAAGAGGACCAACAAAATCACTTCAGAGGTCCCGCCTTCAGACAAGAACTGACCACAGACAAAAATAAGTTCCAGCTGTTGAGAAAAATTGCACGTACCACACCAACGAAGATAATAACCGCAAAACCATACCCCTTGTATACCGGTTCTCCATTTTGCATAGACTGCAGACAAAATATACAACAGAGTTCAGTACGTATTTTCGCCTCAAGGTTTCTCTTTCCGTGGCTCCTTCCAAATATTAACTTCGCGAGCATCCTAACTTGTGAGCATGCTGTTAGATTCTAGATAAACAGCCGGCTTGAGTAAAAAGATGCAACTCCGCCAGAGAGCAAAAAAGTGCTAACAAGGCCTACAAGTTATATCTCGAACGTTCGAGACAAACATACTAAGGGCACACACCGTCATAAACATAGTCCCATAGATACATACCAGTAACAAACAGAAGGACGAATAATTAGTACCTGCAGGAGAAGATTCAAAACAACAGGCCCGACAAACTGTGCTGCGTCATTCCCAATCTGCAAACCGAACAAAAATGTCAGCATTTCATAGACCCAATAGTCTCTTTCATTAATTAAACCATCAACGTTCAAAGAAGTCTTCTAGAGCAAAATCTTCGTTTACCGTCTCCAAGATCCAAATTGGTCAATTTGCAGCACAAACACAAAGAAAATTGCCATTTTAAGTAAACATCCGAGATTTTAGAGCAATGGAAACCGATTTAAGAATTATATGTAAACGAACCAACCCTATAGTATGGAAAGCTTCGGCATCCTTACCTTGAAGACCCCACCCAGCCAGAACCTGCAACCAAATTATCCATATCTAGTTAGTCGCAGACGAGTCATCGAGTTTAGTGTACAGTACACAAACTCGCTTTACTTGTCACAGTTCCTACCGTCCTCAGCATAATCCATGAAAATAAGAGGCGGGTCAAGTGAGTAATATACCGGCCACCTAGGGCATCATTCAGTGCCCTCAACAACCATGGGTTTTCTTTCAGTCGCTCTTTATCCCAAGATTTCTTGAATCTGCATAAAATGAACACGTGAATACGTACACATATTCAGCAAAGTCAACTACTCAAGCAAATGCAAAAGACTTACAAAGGAGACAAAGATGAATGTGACACAACCCCGAATACATAGAAAACATCAAGCTCTAGGTTGATGACATACTCTCCGTATAAATGCTCAGTCTGATCCCAATCGTCGAGCTGCCAAACATCTCTGTCTGTAATTGGCTTTTTGAAACCCTGCTTCATTAAAGGAGTCATCCAGGTAAATAGGAGCTCTGCACACATAAGTCGAAAAGTACGGGTGAGGAGAGTACGACACGCCGAAAACAATCAGACTACTGTAGATAGTAAACGCCCGATATAGCCATGAATTCCCGACGAAGTTGATTTTTTCACGACGAAGTGATAATTACACTCACGTGAGAAAATCCCGACACGTCTTTCTGGGCAAACCTCGTCCCCGGCGGGAAGGGCCTCGTATTCTCCAGACGAGTTGGGCTCCTCTTGCGTCAGGATAGGCGTATATCCTGTAAATACCACCAAAGTCGGGAAATAGAATACAAGGATTGCAGCAAGCAGTATCTGCGGCACCATCCAGAAAAGAAGATGAGATATTTGTAACGCATCTTTATCAGTAGGAGATATTTATGTCGAACAGAGGCCTTCCGAGTCTTCGGACAATGAAAAATCATATATAATATTCAGACATCGTACATTGCTCGAAAATTTCCAAAATAATGATATAAAACCTCTTTATACTGCGTACGAAATCTAGCTGGCATTATACGATACAAACGTCCGACTTACGGCATATTACGTCTCCAAAAATGATTGTGATCAAACGCTCTATGTGGCTAAATCCCCACGAGAGACAAGTCTTCAACCGGACAAATATAAAGCTATTCTAATAAATAGCGTATACATTTTAGAGAACCACATTGCATTACTAAGAAGCATACACAAACACGCAGCAAAAGAGTAATCGATGCAGACAATAATATCAAATTCAACACAATTAACTGCAAGTTCGAGTATCACGAAAGCATTCATCTTTCCCTGTCAACAGGTACTTCAGGTAAGCAAAACTAGTCCTGAAATGTCAATACTGAGCGAAATGTCCATCGATAATGCAAGGCCAGCCCGAAAAAACTCAACGGCATTCCAAAGATTGTCCACAACGACCACAGAACTCCCAAATTAAAAGAAATGTATAGCGAGCAGTAGAACATACCTCGCAAATGCCAGTGCCGACGTAGAATTCAAACACCATTCTGTAACACAAATTGAAATAGAATCACTTACCGCAAAGTTACGTATTCCAAACCCAACGGAGAGAACTGAACATGTCAATCGTAATTGCATTCGGCTATATGTAAGGTAAGAATGACGCATTACTAGTTTAACGGTCAGCCATCCGAATGGTTGATAAAAGCAACTAACGATACTGTTGTGACTTCACTTACTTGTCGTAGTAATCGCGCAGTTCCAGAACATCCCGGAACAGGGCTAATTCGGCGACCAGCGTGTAGAGAATCCCGAAGCGGATATGCCACATGTACTCCGTGACATAGGCGAAAAATTGGGTACAAAACATACACGTGACTGCCGCCCATGTCAAGAACTTTATTACCAGACTCGTGATCTGCAATTGCGAAGCAGGCAATGAAAGCGACGTCGAATATACAGGGGTTAGCGAGTGCAATCCTAGGAAAAACAAATTGCAGAACAACAGCCACCAATTCCTAGAATCAGTACTCGTTTAGCACAACGACACTACTAGTCCAATCAAGGATCCAAGCAGAATCGGCCCAGGTGGATACCACGGGAACTAAAGAATCCCAATCGATTCCCTTGCAATTGATCATGCAGACGACTGCCATTTCACCAGCTGACTTTGACCATATTTTCCAAACAATCGTTTGAAGCGTTACACTAATCTGACGTAGGGGATAAGGCAATATTGAACACATGTAGCATAAATAAACTTAAACAAATAAAAAATAGCTTTGCAAACAATCCCGACTCCGGAATCACGGACTCGACGAACTACACACGACAAAATGTTGGCCGGGTTATCACTGTCAACAATAACAATCCACAAATGGGGCATTTCATGGGGCGTTCCAAGTGCTCTCTGTCCCTGTGTCTCTCGTCTCACCTCGAATGGAGGCAGATTATCCTGCCCCTCAGTGTTGATGATGGAAAACTTGAGGAAGATTTGGACGATGGGCGCGGCAGCACACGCTAGGGCCAACAAGACGGCAATAACGTGCATGAACTTGTACCGCACGGTATACCTTTTGAGATTACGCGATCGCAAAAGCTGAATGCGCTTCAGAGTCAATCCAAGGAGCACCAAATATGAGACATTCACGACCACAGTCTCCATGAAACAAGGAGTAAATGCTCCAAAACCATTTTGCAAGTTTTTCGCCCAGTTTCCCTCGGGAATGGGGCGACAAAACTTCACGACCAGATCGTTTACTTTATCCATCTTTCCTCCTGTGCAGCTCCCGAAAATCTGCCGACTTCCACACCTCTGAATGGCGTCGTCCACCGTCAAACCTCCTCTGCAAAGCTTGCCCTTCCTGACGCTCTCCGCGTGTAATCAAGGCACATCAGGACGTTCACCTCGCAGCGCAAACTCCTCGCTTCCTGCACGGTCTCCCAGCTGCGCTCCGGAAATCCATGTCCTCGTCCTTTGCGTCCGCACCCTCGGCTCGTCTCGACCTCGACCGCTGACGATTCTGTTATTGCAATCGAGGGACGAACGAGAGGCCGAGAGAGAAAAGACCGAAAGCTCCGAAGGAAATGAACGGAGGTCGATAGATAAATGAGGTCGATAGGATTCGTCAAGCGCGCCTCGCGAGAGCGCCTACCGAGGATTCAGATCCACCGTAGCCCTGCCAGCCTCCTGACGATTTCATCTTCGTCGGCTCATGTGCCCGTCTCCTGTCCTCCCCTCTCATCTCATCTCATCTCATCTGCAGCGCTGCGTTTCTAACCCTCTCGCTCTTTGCGCCCAGTTCTCGCCTTCCCGCTCCTCCGCCTCGCCCTCCTCTCGAATTCCGCCTCGTCCTTCAATTCCCTGGGCTGCCACGGACCGCTCCATAATTTATGAAGCACCATGTTTTGTCGCCTCTTCCGCCCACTTCCATCCACGTAAGGCCTTGAGTTCTCGCCTGGGACCTTGACCACGGACAGCCCCGTACGTGGTGCGCCTTCTTCTTCCTCCTCCTCTGCTATTGCCGCTGCTGCTTCTGCTGCTGCTGCTCCGGGTCAACGTAACTACGGCGTACGTCACAGTACGTACAGAATTTAGAGTAGGGATTCGTTTCCATGGTTTGGTGATGGTTACGTTCATTACTGAGAGGTTCTTTAGGAGGCAGCTTCGCGACTCTTTGTTGCGACGAAGCGTAGATGATGGGTTCGGGAGTTCGATTATTACTGCATTTGATTATTATTTTGTTCATTTGCCGGGGTCAGTCGGAAAACGAAGAAGTTGCTGAAATTTCTCGACTGGTTACGCCGCGTACAGGTATTCACGCGCGAAAGAGGGGTGTTCACTGAAGGCACGATCGAAGCATAGATTTGCGAAATATTCCACGTGTACATCACGTCCAAATTTTCATGGACTTTATTATTATTCTACAGCGTTTGATTCAATTTATGCTGAGTTCTGAATCTACCTGATTTTTTAAACGAATTACATTATAATTGCATGTATGAGTTCGTTCGTGTCAAATAACCTAGGACAGGTCTCACATTCTATGCCTAAACAAAGAGCTAACATTGCTCTTTTCTGTGAACCCCGTGGACTAAAAGAGTCCTGACGAAAGTTCCACGCACGAATATACACTTCACGACTTGTGTAAAATTGAACTGGTCTTGTGCTCCAACTAACAGTTAAATGTAAACCATGTCCGCAGCACGAGTCAGAGGAGATCATCGCAACCAAAGATGTAATAATTGATTGGATGATGTGAAAAAGTTAGATCAAGATATGATTGTTTTTGCAACAAAGATTCTGGCCATATCGATCACAGCAACGTCATTGAGAGAGATTTGATCACAAGCTGAATGTAGATGGCCAAAACTGACACATTACACCAAGGAATAAACTGTATCCATCTTCAGTCCCTCCGCATGCAAGTCACAGATAACAAACTTCTTTTGACCTCAACATACATATCTTGATATTGAATAAACTGAAATGATAGAAGAAAGGACAAGTTATTATCAAAGCGAACCGACAAAAACACAATATCATAAGCATTGAGAGGTTCGATATCACCAAGGCCGAAACGAAATGATAGTACAATATCTTTTCATTAGGTAACCTGTGGACTTCCACTCGGCAGGATTCACATATAATTGTTTATAATAATTTAAATATTTTTTAGATTTCCTTGAAAAGAAATTTATTACATGATCATCATAATCATTCAATAATTTTCAATCATTCATAATAAATATTGAAATATAGCTATTCTCTTGCACTGTTCACTATAATATTAGGTCTTCAATTAAAGAGAAGTGACATATCTATTGGATTTTTTAGTTGAATTTCGATTTCTCTACCATTTATACCAAAAATTATTCTTCTGTCTATTTTTTCTAACATTTGTTCTGTATTTTTATTTTAAAATTCGAAGAAATTTCGCCATATAAAAATTAATTAAATATTGAGAATCCCAGTATAAAATATAGTGCAATCATTGCAGAACTTGAAAAATGACACTTTATATTCTTCCCAAACATTTATAAAGAAAGGGTACGATTATGCACTCGAGTACTTCCATAGTAACAGGTTAGGCTTCTTTGTCCCATGCATGGTTACTTCAGCGAGGTCAGGGTTTCCAAGATGCCGCACCGTTCTGTGGTTGTGTCCTCCGAATATTTCCATGTCATCAACGCTGCTTCCATTGCGACACTGATGACATCTTCAGAGTCCTGGAGTCTGGACATCTGGACTGCGTCCGAACCTGTACTTTTCATTCGGCCGAAATTGCTTAGTCCACCGAATCAAGGAGGACGACTGTCAACAACTCGTTGTTTTGGCAAATCGAAGCATCAGTAATCAATTGTCCTGCGTGTTTATTCTCTCCAATTGTCTCACACTTGCTTTGGGTGTGCACTGATAGCTTCATTTCGTCTTGACGTAGAGGAATGTGAACGAATAATCACAGAATCATGTCCTTCCAAAATATCTCAACACCGACTTCCGTCTACACGTTGATAAGTTTCAATCAAGAATACACATTATTATGGTATTAAAAATTAATAATTGTTCTCACCACTTTGACTCGACTTTAACTAATTTTTACTAATTCGTGATGAAGCGCATGAAAATAATTTAGCTTCATTTCTAATCAATCGTAAAAGATCTATATATCAGCGTAGCTAGTGTTATACACCGTCATTCTTGGTTTAAACTATTATTCAATATACTCAAAGTTTTCGGTTGAATCTGAGGAAAAATATCCTCGTTTCACTAGCTTTTGACACCGTTCTCGTATATATTATATCTTTATTAGAAAATTAGAGATTTGAAGTGCATTGCATACTTTCCACGTCCCACCCACTTCTGCCTTGAATGACGAAATTGTATTCTCGCTGGCAAGTCTTGCACATATTAAACTCAGTAAGCAAATCACATCGTTACATGGTCGAAGTACACGTCTGACAATGTCCGTAGAACAAACTCTGGCAGAGGACATATGCTTGGATGAGCTCATCCTAGCCGGAGCATGCAACAAAGATGCGATGACACTTAGCGCCATCCAATATACATCGACGGACGGAATGCAAATCATATGCAGACATTTGCATTTTGACAGTTACAGTCCGGACATGCAAATCTACATTACAAGGTAATTCCAAAAACTGGAACGAACAGGTGGAACTGTAGTAAGACACATCATGGACTAAGGGACGATGAGTCCGCTCTTCTCGGAGGACTGTACCCAGTCAGGTGCTTTTTCGAGTCTTGGTACAGGGACGTGGAGACGCAGCTTCGTTTGCTCTTTCGTCGTCTGACTCGTGGGGGACATGGCTACTGAGAATCAGCATTCGTCCCAGAATCGCACAACGCCCTAAGCGCCACAGCAACTGTCCGGATCCTGTATATAGGAGCGCAGACAATCTCGGCACGGGAAGCTTCGGCTGCTGGTCTCCGAGTGCAACAGAGCCAGAAGCAAATATGACTTTGCGAAGACCGGTATTCTGCGCACTTTTTTCTGCTTTAGCATCATAGGCAGATCATCTCAAGCTCCTTCCCAATGCACAGGAAGTCACTTTTATTTGTCCACCATGCAGCTTATAGGGTTTAGGAGTTTACCTCCCAGTTACATCTACTGTGTTAGTTGGGCGCAGTTGCTTTTGGCATTCTGTTATTCGGACTCCACCCGGTTACTCTCTGACACCGATTTATAGACTCCCAAAGTACACATCATGCAGTAATACAAAATCAGAACCTGAGCCACCTTTGTTACCTGATTAAGTTATTGTCAGTGTTCACACAATTGCGACATTTAACCTGCTGTCACCACGTGCGTTGACAGCAGGTGTTGGAGTAAATTAATAAATTCTCATGCGCTATAAAATAGACACTTGGGACTGACCTTGCAAATGAATCAGACAAATTCACTTTTAGATTCAGTATTTACTTTCTGTATTGACTCTAGTAATGTGTGACTCTAGTAATGAGCACAAGATGTTGCCACCCGAATCTTTTCCCGAATTCAAAAAATTAAGTATGATTTTGTGCACTAAGAATATAGCTCTTGATTTTGGTTTCAACATTTTCTGCCTACTACTCCTTGTTGTCTTTAAAGCGGCGATCAAGTTTATTTATTTTATTTAATAATAAAATATGCACATAAAAACCAAGATTTTATGGTAATTTTACATTTTTTGAAGATATGTATCCAAATGAAATGATAAGACATGTATCAAATAGATTTCAAAGTTTCATCAACTTCTTAAATTACTGTTTCCCTTTCATTTTATTCTTCTATAACATGTGAAATTGATCATTAACTTTTCAACTATACTTGAGCATTGAACTTACAACAATGTCTTCATTTATTTGATGTCAAATATGTATCAGGTATTTATCTGATATAACTAATTTAATATCAAAACTTAATCTTGAAAACTATAACAGATATACATTAATATATAAAAAATTAGAAAAACTCAATTAAAAATATAAATGATATTTACGTAAATATAAACATGATAATATATTAGAACATAAGTAATTTCTTAACATTTCATTATCATGTTTAATATATATTTACTAGTATTGCTCATGAAAAAATAATGATAGCTTAATACAAATGGTATAATTATGATAATTTTTACTACCTTATTGTAGTAAATCGTCAACATTGATATACATTAGGGCTGGCACGGAGTGGTGAAATTTGATGTGGTTTAAGTGTTTCACCCGATTATTCTCAAATCGCATAAATGTGGTTTAATGACATTTAATGACATGGTCGGATTTCATGATTTAGTCGGCGATGTAACAAAGTCGCCGACCATATACTTCAATTTGCGCGAATGTAGCTCGGTTGGAGTAATTATCTGGCTTGACTCGCCGACATGGAAGTACTCACCATCGACTGCTGGCTGCGAGATTGCTCTCCGTTCTGTTGATCACAAACGCGCTCGTTGCAAGCATGTTGTTGAATCTACGCTCTTCCTTCTGTTGATCGAAAACGGGCTTGTTGCGAGCCTGTTGCTGAATCTACCTTTCTGAGATTCAGTTGAAGCTACTCTTTTGTCGATCAAAGATCAAAGACGCGCTTGTTGCTAGCCTGAGGTCAGATATCCGTTTGTTGTCAAGCTGCCAAATCTATTGAAAGTCTCCCTTTTGTCGATCAGGTTAGGTGATGACGGATTGCGTTGCGTTCGATTGTCGAATTCGGATGTGCATGTCAGCTTGACTTGCTACCAGACCACAAACTAAGAGTGAATTTCTCAATATTTTTTTGCAGAATCTTTGATTGACGACAACGATGCTATTATGTTACTGTAGATTTGGATGAAACAGAGGAGTGCAAACGCGGTCGCCCTACAAGCACCGTGTGGACCTTATTTACAAATGATGTCGATCCGCAAAACGCAAAGAGCGTTAGATGCAAG